CAGGCATACGGTAGCTTTGGAGGAGCTGTAGTGACCCACAACTTAGATGGAGCTTAAATTAACAGGAAACCTACAGCTTTATTGTTGAAAAATTTGTTGGTACAACAAACTTTGCAACTAGGAACACAGAAAACATGAAGCAAAAGCTGCTCTAGTTGGATGAGACTCATACGTAACCCTTTTTTACCTAACATTGTACAGCATCAACACGGAGGAGGCAGCATTATGCTTTGGGAATTTGGTGCTTCTGGGATAAGGGAGCTGTTTAGAGCTGATGAGATGATAAATGGAGGCCTCATTTTCATCTGCCATCCATCCAGTTAGATAAAAAGCTGGTATAGAAATGCAATTTCAGTAAAACCAAAGCTTTAGAAAATATCTACAAAGTATTAAGAAGTACTTATTTCAGCTTTGAAGCAAAAGAAATACTGCCACATTCTGGCTTTCACCAACACATGGTAAATATGGCATCTTCTTTTAAAAGCGGGGTTTTAATGATGAAAATCATCTCCTCTCCTCACCCCAGCGTCCCAATGCCCAGTGGCACCACCAGCACCGGGTCAGGAGGGCAGGGTTCCAATGGAGGAGCAGCGGCCAGCGAGCGTGGGTTACTAGCTGCGCCTAACGAGGTGATTAAAACGATAAGGGGAAGCACGAATGACTTGGCGTGGCCCGCAGCCACCGCCATGTTTGCTGCCACAGCAGACACACTCCCAGACAAACACGCTGTGAATGAGAGCAAAGTTCCAACCACGGCGCCAGAAGGACCGTATCTACGAAGAAAAAAAAGGGGGGACGTTTGTGCGAGATGACGGACAGCTCGCCTTGGGCTCCGACCGGGTCCGTGTGACACAGAGAGACTCGCAGTGGGGTGTATTGGAGACATGTCAAGACCAGGAGACAGAGGCCTCCTGACAGCTGGAGCCCACGGACACACACACTCACAGTCTAATTGCTCCACAGACAGCAGAGTGGAAATGGCCTGCGTTTGGTGGTCTGCGGCACCCGGACCCCGCCTCAGTCCGCGAGGCTCTCGGCCAAAGACATGAAGGACACCTCCAAGGCTGTTTTGTTGGTGCCTGCTGCAATTACATCCCACAGCTGATGTAGTGAGTGTGGAGACAGGCAGCACACTGCAGGGTGGTGGAGTCACCAGAGAACGGCTAATGGATGTTCTTTAGTCACGGTATTTACTCTTTTCTCAGCCAAATTACACAAACTCAACACCCATCCCGTCTGTTTAAGAAAACATCACAGATCATTAATAAGATCGGTGGTAATTTTTCTGTGAAGCTGTTAAAGATATGTTCGAAGGACAGAAGAGGAAAACTCTGCAATTCATGGTCTGAAGAAATCAAATCACTCCTCTTAGTAACACGACGTACATCAGAGATGTCCAAAGTGCAGCTTCTGGATCTAGTTCTGTCTCCACAACTGATGGAGATCCATTTCTTTTAAATTAGAGCAAAGTTTTTAATGACAGACTGACATCTTAGGTATGCAAAAGGAAAAAAAAAATGGTTTACTCAAGAGCTTTGTTCATCAAGATCTGCATTTACTCGATCTATTCAATTAAATCAAGCGCATTTCTTTGGAAAAAAGAGAGAACCAAGTATTGTTCTTATTGATTAGAATTGACCTCATGTTTCTCTTGACCCAGCTGAGGCCAGAGAACCCAAACATTGTACTCAAGTAAGAGTAGCACTACTTTAACTATTTTTGTTTTTACAAAGTATTTGGTAGAAAAGCCAATTGAGTAACTGAGTGTTGGATAATAACATCAGATTTAATGTTTAGAATTGATGCTGGAAAACAAACTTAATGTGTAAGGCAAGGCAAGGCAAGGAAAGGCAAATTTATTTGTATAGCACAATTCAGTACAAAGACAATGCAAAGTGCTTTACATGATTAAAATATAGGAAAATAAAACAGAATCAAAGCAAGCAGGAAGCAAAAAAGAATATTAAAAACAGTTGGACTAAAGAAAATAAAAAAGTCGAACTAATGATGTTTCAGCTGAACTGTTTAACTAGAACAGTCGAAGGCAATCCTAAATAAATGTGTTTTTAGTCTTGATTGGAAGGAACTCAGGCTTTCCGCACTTTTAC